ACATCAAGCACTGCTAGTTGTAATGATTATTGTAAGCCTCTCAAGCCCTTATAGAAGTGTTGTCAACTGTCAGAGGTTTCAGATTTCCAGCCAGTTAGACTCTTGCTCTGATTTTTGACTGAGGCAGTCACCAGTTAACAGGTCGTAAGTAGTGAGGCTGGATGTAACTCATCTAGGCCTATGCATCTACTCTCTAATGTCCCAAGGAGTGGCTGCCTCTTTCACTTTTCATCACTAGGTTTTGCTATCTGGGAGGATATATGACGTAGTGAGAAGCACATGGGCTTTGGAGTTAGCCAGACCTAATTTAGAACCCTGGCATCTCCACTTACTACCTAGAGGTTCGTGAATTTGTACTTTTTATCTTGAAGTTGAGGATAACAACATTAAGTTATTTTGAACTTTAGTCATCATTGTTAAAAATATCATCATCATTATTAGTGGCCACCATTGATTGACCTCTTTAGTAGGTATAAGGAACTGTTTCAAGTGCCTCACACCGATTAGCCCATTTAACTTTCTCAACAACATATTAAAAGGTGTATATTATTATTCCCATTTAAAACATCTAGCGTGCCAGGCATATTATAGGTGCATGAAATTTATCATTTAATAACAATATTATTATCTTTCAGAGTAAAAATTCTCCAAATATTGTTGGTTTAAAATTTTATTTCAAAGAAAAATAGTTCTAGAATGTTATCACTGAAAGGAATTAACTTGACTTTATCTCGTGGAGTGATTTCCGTATTTTTAAGCCAGAAACTGTCACTAACATGATCAATATGGGCCGGGAGCAGTGGCTCACACTTGTAATCCCAGCACTTTGGGAGTCCAAGGCAGGTGGATCACGAGGTCAGGAGTTAGAGACCAGCCTGGCCAACATAGTGAAACTCCATCTCTACTAAAAATACAAAAATTAGCTGGGTGTGGTGGTGTGCACCTATAGTTCCAGCTACTTGGGAGGCTGAGGGAGGAGAACTGCTTGAACCCAGGAGGTGGAGTTTGCAATGAGCTGATATCATGCCACTTCACTCCAGCTTGGGTGACAGAGTGAGACTTTGTCTCAAATAAACAAAAACAACAACAACAACAAAAAAAAACAAAAAAAAACCCCATGATCAATGTGTCAAAAATATAAAAGCGTAACTATTCTATTTGAATCAGAGACAGAGTTGAACCCTGTGTAACAACTCATCTGTGCCTAGAGCCCTGAGGAGCACAGTTTAAAAATTACTAATTTCATCCATTCCCCATATACATACCTAGAAAAGCAAAGTGATTTATACTGTTTGTTAGCTGCAGACCCTAAATTTTAAATTAGATCTCCTGACTTCTAGATCCATTGTTTTCTATGAGATCACAGTATGTGATAGAGCATAATTATTGTTTACTAAAAGTCCTGATTTAAGGATGATAAAGCATCTTTATATACTTTATCATATTTGAACTTCGCAAATTTTATGGTAGATGTTACCTATTCCTTCTAGTTCACCTAAAATGCTGCATAATTTTCATAACATTTGGTGGCAATGGCAGTAAGGGGGAAAAAACAACTGGAGACCAGAATATAGAAAGAGAGTGATTCCGTTGAAATAAGCAAGTACAGTGGAGTTGGCATTTGCCCTGGGTGCAATTTCTAGTCTCTGGTGGTTTAAAATCTGGCTTCTAATGGACACTGTGTAAGCAGACAGGAGACAGCCTGGGGCGAGTATGAGAAACATAAGTCAAGAACCTTAAAGGATGAATCCCTCCATGGGTGAACTAGGAAAAATCCACTCTGTACAAGGAGACTTGCCTGTCAGTCTTGACTCTAGATGGAGGTCTACAGGAGAAAATCTTGTATTCCTGAAAGCTTAGGGCTGGACTTTATTCCACTTGTGTGACTCAGTCTTCAAGCCCTAAGACAAAAATGTAGTTGAAAGTCATCTTGGGTTGACAGTTCACTCAGACCCCTGACAGAAGGAAACACAAATCCTCTCCAAAGAAATGCAGTTTAAAAACCAAAACCTCAAATAATTCTCACAGATTAAATTCCAAAAAATATGAGCTTACAGATAGAAGAATCACTCAAAGCACAAGAGAATAAGCCATCATGCATGCTACTCAGCATAAACAACAAATGGCAAAAGTAGATGCACAAAGCCTGAAGATATTAGAATTATCAATATAAAATATTTATATGTAACATGTTTAAAGAATTTTTTTAAAAAGGAAATTTAAAAAATGAAAGAATAAGAGACTATCAAATTTGACTAAGCAGATTGAAAAATAATGAAATAGGATTCTAAAAATAAAAATACAGCAAGTGAAATTAAAAATGATGTGGGTGACTGAAAGAGAATATGACACAGCTCAAGACAGAATTAACTGATAGATACATCTGGAAGTGATACAGAATTCAGCATAAAGAAAAAGAAACAGAAGATATGAAAGCAAGTCTAAGTAACATAGATGAGAGCTTGAGAAGAAAGAACATTTATCTAATTGGAAGTCCACAAAGACAAAATGGAGAAAAACGTGGAAAGGGAATGTTTGAAAAGAGAATATCTAAGAATTTTCCAAAATGATAAAAGATTTCATCATTTTTCAGATTCAAGAATCCCCCCAAATCTTAAATACAAATACATTTATACCTACATACCTTAGATTAAAACTGAAAAAATATAAAACAAACAAACCCCAATCAGGCTGGGTGTGGTGGCTCATGCCTGCAATCCTAGGACTTTGGGAGGCGGAGAGGGTGGGGAAATCGCTTGAGCCTAGGAGTTTGAGACAAGCCTGGGCAACAGAGTGAGACTTCATCTTGCAAAACAAAACAAAACAAAACAAAACAAAATTAGTTGGGCCTGGTGGCACACACCTGTAGTCCCAGCTACTCAGTTGCCGAGGTGGGAGGATCACTTTAGCCCACGAGGCTGAGGCTGCAAAGAACAATGATTGTACTACTGCACTCCAGCCTGGGCAACAGAGTGAGACTCTGTCTCAAAATAACAATAAAACCCAACCTAATGCACAAATAAAGATCTTAAAAGCATCCACAGAGAAAAGGGTTACCACATATAAAGGAATGACTATTAGATTAATAAGTGACTCAGCAGCAATAATAGAAGCCAGAAAACATGGAATGACATTTTCAAAATGTTGAGATAAAATAACTATACTCAGTAAAACTATTTTTTAAGTATGAAGATAGTCTAAAGACACATTTAGACGGATGGAAATTGAGCAGAGTCACTATCAAAAGATTCTGTAGGAACTTCTGAAGGCTATATTAGGAAGAAAAATTTCTTTGAAGAAGTAGCAGGGAACAAGAAAGAATGTTAAGCAAAGAAAATGTTGAATACGAGGCTAAAGAGTATGCCCCAGGAAGCATGTTTAAGAATGTTTTTAGCAGCTTCGTTTGTCAATGAAAACCTGCAAATAGCTCAAATGTCCATCTATAGTATAGGCATACCCCAGAGATATTATGGATTCGGTTCCAGACTATGGCCATGAAGCAAATATTGCAATAAGTGAGTCACACAAATTATTTTTGTTTCCCAGTGTGTTTAAAAGTACTGTCTGATGGCATTTTACTCACTGGAAAGTCTTTCAAAATTGGTGCTGATCCTCCTGCTTTGTCAACTAAGTTTATATACTATTCTAAATCTTTTGTTGAATGAATGAACCCATAGCTAAAGGCATTCACATGGATGAATAGAGAAAAGCACACCATAGTATAATAAAAATAAAATGGATGTGGCGTGGATGTGGTGAACAGGGAGCACTTCTACACTGCTGGTGGAAATGTAAACTAGCACAACCACCATGAAAAACAGTGTGGAGATTCCTGAAAGAACTAAAAGTAGAACTGAAAGTAGAGTTTGATCCAGCAATCCCACTACTGGGTGTCTACCCAGAGGAAAAGAACTCATTATACGACAAAGATACTTGCACATGCATGTTGATAGCAGCACAGTTCACAATTGCAAAGATGTAGAACCAACCCAAATGCCCATCAGTCAGTGAGTGGATAAAGAAACTGATATAGATGATGGAATACTACTCAGCAATAAAAAGGAATGAATTAATGTTATTCACAGCAACCTAGATGAGATTGGAGACCTTTATTCTAAGTGAAGTAACCCAGGAATAGAAAACCAACCATATGTTCACGTTCAAAAGTGGGAGTTAAGCTATGAGGATGCAAAGGTATAAGAATGACATAATGGACTTTAGGAAGTTAGGGGGAAAGGGGCATGGGGTTGAGAGAGAAAAGACTACAAATAGGATGCAGAGTATACTACTCAGGTGATGGGTGCGCCAAAATCTCACAAATCACCACTAAAGAACTTATGTAACCAGACACCATCTGTTCCCTGGAAACCTATGGATATAAACTATTTTTTTAAAAAACATACCATAGAAGATATGTATGGTATGATTTCCCTTATATGAAGTTTAAAATGGGCAAAGCTAAATGGTATATTGTTTAGGCATAAACACAAATATGTAGTAAAGCTATAAAAAGCTGCAAGGGAGTGATGAACTCAAAATTGAGGATAGTTATCTCTAGTGGCTGGGAGGGAGATTCATTGGGGGAGGGAAATTAAGCAGTTTTGATAATCTGGTTGTATTCATTTTATTTTATATATTCATATATATTAATTTTATGTACTCTTTGTATTATAAATTTTATAAGAAAACAATTACAAAAAGAGTAGTCATGTAAGAATGTAGTGAGAAGAGGATGCAGGATCAGCATGGATAAAAGCATTCAGGCAGGAACAGTCTTCGCAAATTTGAATATGGGTAGGGGAAAGCCTCTTATGCCTGGGACAGCCCGAAGTTTCCTATATATATTCTGCCACTTTCTTATCTAGTTTATCCTTACATACTGCCAAAGTGTATTTTCCTGCATAGTGACGTATAATAAAAAAAAAATGTTACATACTTTATTTTGGGGAGTTACTTTATTTCTTTCTTTTCTGTTGTACAATTTTATTTGTTTTTTCTAGGTCATAACTTTTGTGCAGAAGGACCTAAATGTGGTGAAAACTCAGAGTGCAAAAACTGGAATACAAAAGCTACTTGTGAGTGCAAGAGTGGTTACATCTCTGTCCAGGGAGACTCTGCCTACTGTGAAGGTAAGTACGCTATTTCATGAAGTCACTTGTGAGAGGTTGACTGAGAAGTGTATTCCTGGTAGGTGTGGTTAAAGAGTGAAAACTATCACTTGGCTCTGGTCCTATGCAATCCTACAAGAAATCATATCAATTGCTGAAGGTTCTGTGTTCTCCTGGTTTATCCATACTGCTCAGTAGCATGAGAAGGCAAGACCTTTGAAGGCAGTTATGAAACACAGCAAAGAAACAAAGGCAACAGGGACATATCAAATCCCATGTTCTGCTGCTGTGCACATAACAATCACTAGATCAACCATAGACACATCATATTCTCTTTTCTTATTTGATGAGATTGCCATCTTCATATTTAATTAAACGTACATGGTGGATTCTGTTTTCGAATGATACTTTGACATTAACTCATACTAAGCTGCTATCTCCTTGACCTGACAAGATCAGGTTTGTATTCTTTTTAGTGGGTTTCTTAATGACTGATTCATGCATTGCCAATTCCCAGTCTCTACTAAAAGTCACAGTGATGGAGGGACTCATAACTTTGGCACATGGGCTGACGCCATTACAGTGGGATGGTGGCCTCAAGCATCAGTGACCCACATTTCTGCTCTAGAGAGAACAACTCCTCCATCTTAAGAGAGCACCGTTTTTTCAGGCTCAGTACTGCAACCTGCTAGTGGTGAGCATTGCACATCCCTATTTCCTTAACATGCCAGAGGAGTGGGAGTTAGTTCGACCTGGTCTATATGTATAGTGCCGTAATATCTGAGCCCATCCATTTCCAATGTGCTCATGGCTCCCTTCCATCAGTTTGCAAAAGCTTTAATAAGCAAAGTGATGGCTGGGCTATTTTTCTTTTTTTCCTAGTTCCAATTATTCCTGTTGTCTTTATTAATGATATATTGCACCATGATGATTTGGGTAGTTGTCTTCAATGAATGCTGCAAAATTCTGGTCACTTTCCTCTGAGTGTTTTAGCTCTCAAGTAGGTCAGGTATTCTAAAGGTAAAGGCAGTAATAACTGATGATAGTAATGGTGAATTTCTTACTATTCTGCTGTCTCATAGTTGACCCTTGAACAACACGGGTTTAAACTTTGCATGCCCTCTTATACATGGATTTTTTTCAACCAAACACAAGTCAAAAATACAGAATTCGCAGGGTGCAAAACCTGCCTATGTGGAGGGCCAACTTTTCCTATACAGTGGGTTCTGCAAAGCCTACTTTGGGATATGAGTATGTGTAGGTTTGGGTATACACAGGGACCTACAACCAAGTCCCTGCATATACCCAGGAATGGCTATATCTTGCTAATCCCTGGTTAACATTTTGGCTTTGACTAAAGACCTCTAGTTGTCAAGAGGATGTATCTTATTACTACCAGAGACCAGTACCTTGTAGGAACCCTCTGTTGTTGGTTTTTTTTTTTTTCATTTCTTCTGGAAGACTTTGTTTGTTACTACCATAATTTTTATTAACAATATATTCTAATAATATATAATGATTTTGTCTTCTTATTTTTCACCCTTTTTTTTGGCTGGTTTTATGGATTTGAAGTTTTAAGGAGACATGCCACTTGGGAGAATGAAACTGCCCCTTCACTTATGAACCTTTTCATCTTCCCTTTAATACATCTTAGTTATTTGTTAATTTGGGGTGATGGGAGTATCAATTTCAACACTTCATATTAATATTTATGTTTAGATCTTATGCTATTTTCTATCAGAAAATTTAAGTAATTTTAAAATTTAAAAATGTGAATATTCCCACTATTTACCATGGAAAAATCCTATAAGCCACATAATAGTCTAAAATATGTACCTTCTCACCTTTTCTTATATGCAGGGATAGACTTTGAACAATTATAAAAATGATAGAAGGAACCTCAAAAACAATGTGAATCCTGGTTACACCACTTGCAGACCTTTTAGTTGTTCGTTGAAATCAGCATAGCCAACATTCCTGGCCCCACTTCTCTGTCGAGACCTGGCAGAATATGGGAGAAAACTGCTGGTGCTAATGCTGTTTGGGACTCTTTGATTCATTTCTCATTGATATCGTTTTTTATTACAAAAGATTGGCTCCATGAGGAGCCACCTGCAATATCAATCTGCTCTTTCTCTATGAGGCCTTATTTTATAATGTTGAGTGGTTTTTAGGTCTGAATCGCTGTTTTCTTAGACATGCTCCTGTTTAGCTCAGTGTATGAGCCTGGCCTTAGGCCAGTTTGCATTGTGGTGCTATTGCTGTTGGGTAATGGCAATGTGACTGGGCTTCAGTCATTTCCCTGTTGTATGGAGACTTTCCATAAGCTCCAGGGGACGTGTTCTTGGAGAGAAGGATAGCACCTGAGGAGAAATGGCTAAACATCGGACCCCTTCTAGCATGCAGGAACAGAACTCATGGGTTAAAGCTGGGGTCAAATACTGGGCATCTGGCTGTGAGGCACAGAGAACCCAGTAGAGTGAATGCCAACATTTAGAGCAGATGCCTTTCTCTCATTCCTTCTGCCATCTTCAGCATTTGAACTTTGATCTTTGGGCTTATTTTTCCGTGATTGCATGATGACTTCCATAGCTCTAAGCATTATACCCTCACAGCAGCATCCTAAGCAAGGAAGAGAGGAAGGGGCAGGGCTTAAAAACCTTGTCTGTGTGAAGTTCTGTCATTTTATGCTCAAAGAAAGTCCTTCCTAGAAAGCCATTCCCCCACTCTACCCCTATTACCACCATAACCACATACAGAAGACTTCCCCTGTGTTATTTTTCAGACCCAGGTTACACCACTTCTATCCTCACCACACACACACTTGTAGACCGATGTGTGAGAAAAGAGAATGAGATGGCTGTCACTGGTTTGGGCTAATTGTGTTTATTCCCTGGAGCTGGAGGAGAGGTTTGTCTTCCTGAAACCAAATAAGCTTTGCCCTTTACCTCAAAATAGGGTTTTAGCAACCATTCTTTTATGGTTACCTTTAGATGAATTAAATGAGATAAATGATCATGGAGGCCATTTCCCTAGCTCTCTCTTAAGATTTGCCCTTTGAAATGATCGGATAGACACGCTTACAGGTGGCCAAGTGCCCTCCTAGGAACAGAGACTCTCTGAGGCTGCATTCATTGTCTCTCCACAGCCTAGAAAGAAGTAAATACTTATGAGCTGCTTGAAGCAAGTTATTTTTACTCTGAGTAAATGGGATGAAAATGACGCATACGATAAAAGCCACAATGAACAAGAGTGGTTTGCAAATTAAAACAAAATATTACACACATTGTCCAGGCCATCTTGAAAAGCCTATTCAGGCTCTCAGTGGAAAAGGAAGCACAAAAGGCTTTCAATTTCCTTAACTTCCTAAGTTAGAAGCAGAGAGGTGGCATATTACGGGCCCCTGCTCTGTAGAGATTGTCGTAGAAACTGCCACAGGGAAGCTAGCTGAACTCCTGGCCAATCAATAGAAGACAATAAGACCTTTTGTTGGCTGTGGTACAGTTCACAGGAGGCTGTTTCATTTTGCCTCTTCTGACTCCAGTAGGAGGCTTCCCCATTTTGAAAACTGCTCTAGTTGGATTATAATGTTTTAGGAATCTTGTCAGCTGAGGCTTTTTCCCTTCGTAATGACATTTTTCAACAGGTTGGTCTTCAGTAGTTTCTGATGCATTAGAAATAGTGTCTGAGGAAAGTATAGCAACAGGAGTCCTACTCACGATCTTAATTCTTGAATTTGTAGTCTACCTAGATAGAGTCTCCTAAACTTTTTCTTCCTGTAGTAAAAAGTTACTTAGGAGCATAAAGAACAATGTAATATACACATCATGCCATCTGTCAGGCATGGAAAGCACTACAATTAACATTAAATGGTAATACCTTTTACTTGCGAGTGTTTTGAATTTGTCAGACTCCTTTGATATATGTTACACTTTTTGAACCTTACAGTAAATCTGTGAGAAAGTTGCATCATTGGCCAAATTAACTCCTTTTTATGAGTACAGACACTAGGGCTCAGAGAAATGAAGTAAAAAGATCATCCTCAACTCATTTCTACTCCAGAGCTTTCTGCCTGACTTACGCTGCTCCCTCTCCTTCCACCACCCACACTGTTCCAATACTGTGTTAGCGTTCAAAATGTTGGTTGCCCTCCCAACTTTGCCGACATCAGTTTTGGGTAATGAAATGTGAGTAGACATGATATGTAGTTTCAGAGTAGAACCTCAAGGAGCTTTTGCAGAATTCCACATCATTCTCTTTTCTCGCTGAAACAAAAACTGGCAGTGTTCCAGGTCAGGGCTTCTCCTTTAGCTGACGTCCCAGAATGAAGATGACATGGAACCGTATGACAACTGACAGGTGATAGATATGTGGCATGAGTGAGAAATAATCTTCTATGCCACTGACATTTGTAGGATTTGGGGGTGGGGAGTTATATTACCTTGTGCATAATAGCATAAGCCTACTGATATGTCTTCCTGAATTAATAGATCCAACTTTTGTGGGTTCAGAAGGATACCAAAATTCAGAGCTCACAACTGAAAGCAGTTTTTAATAGAGCAAGCATTGAGAGTTACCAAAGTACAAATTGTTGAGTCATCAGGAGTTTGCTGTGGCACTGCTGCCAAGCAATAGACTTTTTACAGACCACAAGTTATAAATTAGCGTTTTGTTATGCCAAATTCAACATGGTAATTGGATTTCCCAATTAAGATGATAATGAAACAATGCATGTCAGAAATTTAGCAAATTGTCTGGTATTCCCTAAATATTGAATAGATCACAGTTATTATTTTTACCATTATTGTTTACTTAAATCATTAATGTTTATGAAGATCTTTCTTGGAATTGCAGGATTGTGTACTGACTGAGAACAGTACTTTGAGAAGGAGATCAAATTGGCAGGTAGCAGGGGAGAATACATTCAGATGGAAGGACTAGGGTTCATCAATTCTTCCAGGTGCATATTGTTAGCAGTGGGGCACCCAGCATAATAATGTATAGGTGAACTCATTCCTTCC